AGCTCGCCCGCCCCTTTCGCATGCCGCATTAGCCCCCGCACGCCCGACGTACTGGGGCTGATCGCGCGCGCACGACCGGCTGCGGCCACAGACACGACATGCTACGACGACGAGAACTATACGCATGACCACAAGCATGAACACGGACACGGATACGAGAGCAAAGACGACCAGTCGATATGACCATGAGAACGAGGTTCAGCCCGCTGCAGGATAGTAGGCAGACCGATGTAGCGATAGCGCGTGTACACTGTACCACTACGACATGTTGTAGTTGTGCTTCCTTGGGACATTGCAATTCATTGTTTGTTACAATACGTGCGGATCGGGCTGTCGGTGTCGGGCGAACATACGCACGTTTGCGCTTGGGATCTGCGCTAGTCGTCTTCATTGCTCAGCGCTCAGCCCTGGCCCTCATCCAGGCACACTACGCGGACCAGCTAGTGCAGGCCCAGCTGCCTGTGGAGGGAGTGCGTTGCATCGATCTGGATCTCGCATGCCTCGAGGTGCGGATCGTGCGGCGGCCAGGCTTTCCTTTCCTAGATCCAAACATCGCTGCAACATATAGCGCGCCACGTTCCTGTGGGAGCCGAGCTAGACGGCGTAGGCGGGGCCCGAAGCTGGAGAGAGCTCGAAAGACACCCGCCTCGTGCGCTCTTGCCGGGGCATTAACCTGCACAAAAGATATGGAGAAGATGGGCACCCTAGGGCCTAACGCCACGCCACACCGTCGGTCTGAGCGATACGACTCATCCGAGTAGCACTTGTATCATTCTCGGGCATAACGGGTATGCGGGGGGCTATCGCTGCACCACTGCCGCAGTAGCAGCGAGCATGCCGAAGGGAGCCAGTGACATCGGTAGTAGCCCACCAACTAGAAGGGCTGCTCGCGTGCCTTCGCGTCATCCGCAGTCCAACTCAGAGTGTCCAAGTCTTCGAGATAGAAGATGATTCAAGCTTCATACATTCAAAATCTGGAACGCGTATGTGACGTACCAAGAACGCGCACCGAGCCATGCCCGATGGGGGTGGTAATTGGACAAGCGAGCAACGAGCGAAGACGTTGGGGCCCACTAACCGCGTCTGGCGATGCGATGCGCAGAGGAACTTGGAATGAGAACTAGTGAAAATATGAGAAATGGAATATCGAGTTTTTGATCTTGGCAAGATTACCGAGACCCGTCAGCGACTAAGTGTTCGGCTGCAACACCGCCCGGCGGCACGTGTGGCGAGGACCTGAAGGGTGTCGCGTACTTGAGAGTGCTAGCAGGGAGTGCAGGGTGGCGTCAATGTAATAATCATTGCTTAGGGCCAGTCCAGACGCGCAGGTGATAGCACACCATTATTAAACAAGCGCTAACGGTCCGATGGGATAAATCAGTGATAAATCCAACAAGGGAGAGCGCGCACCGCCGCACGCCTCCCCTTGCCGATCATAGAAGGATTTGACAGAAGCTGTCACAGTGACTTAGCGGTCGGGCGAGTGCGGTGGTTGCAATAACGGGCTACGGGAATGATTTCCGGGTGCGCCGATACTTACAAGGTATAGGTGCCGGACGAGACTGAGTATATCATGATCCGCGGTTGCAGGATTTGGTAGTGTCGCAGTCATCAGACAAGGGGACGCACGTATAAGTCTTGCACCGTGCGCCACAGTGGGAGGAGTCCGAACTTTGAAGATCCAGCCATCTCGCTCGACACTCTGTGCAAGTCTAGATTTCAGTGCATGCATGTATCAGCGCCGCTCGCCGCGCACTAGAGCATGATCAGGCTTGCTATGCCCATCGCGTCAAGTTGCATCAACGAAGGAAAGCCCCTAAATTATCCTTATCGCGGGCGCATTTGTACGGAAGAGCCAAGTGGTCCAGGACATATATATCGGCGGGGTCGACAAACGTGTATCCCAATCACGGCAGGTTCAAATCTGCAAGTGCACCGTTGGCGAGCCTCGGGTACCTTGGGCGTTAAGCTCGCCCATTGATCCGGTAAGCACTTGTGTGAATAGGGCAACAAGTGGCCACTTGCCTGGGCATGCCCGGGTATCGATTCAAAATCCTGATGCACTTGGAGGGGTATCGAAGTCGTGGTCGCGGACGAATCTGTGCGTGCAGTGGTTGCGTTGGAGATGGTAAGCAGTCGCCTGCTAATTTCCGACCCTCATGCGCGGCGGAGAAGGTCCCGTAACAATTTTGACGAGCGGTTCCAGGTCCTGGTGAGTTTGAACTCGCCTCGAGCAGAGACTTTCTGATATCTACGGAACAGCTGTGATCCCTGCGATGGATCTTACAGAGAGGCGGACCTGACTAAGGGACGCGATAAATTGAGAGTAGCCGCAAGGGGCCGAATGTGTTTGTTGTAAAAGAGAGAGAACCCGACTCGAGGGGACTCCGAGGCGGTGTATTTGTCTTTATTTGTACATCCATAATGTCTGTTCCTTACCACCGCACGCACTACACATTGCCATTACATAGACAATTCGTGAGGGTCTCATGCGCAGAACCTCTGTCAACTTTGACGAAATCCGCGTCTGTTTCGCCTTTCCTTTTATCTTTAGTTGATTCTGCATTATGAAACACTAGGGCCATAAGGAAGAAAGAATTGTAAGCCTGGCGTTCACGTAAGGGCCATACTCACTGTCATGTATATGTCGATTTAGATCTTTCTCTGAATAGCGCTGCCGTAAATTCGTAAAGTGTCGGGCGTCATTTTGATATTGCTCACGAGGTCAGCTTTAATTTCTCCGTTTATACCGTCGCTCACAACGCCATCTCGTTTCGCAACATGTCTACTTTGACGTCTGACTCCTTCTCTACGTTTCACGATTACCATTCCTTATTGTATGCGAATATACGATGTCAGCAATTCGCATAGGCCAGTCCCTACGCTCATCTCACAGGTCGCTGACGTATCGCAAGTGGCAATACTTTGCCGAGATGCTGTATGTACCGAACACCATGAATGGCGGACTATAATGCTCCGTAGGGTCTAGGACATAGTATGGAATCAGCAAGAGTACATGATTGGCATGCACTGCAAGCTTTTGGATGTCCTCAGTATGTCTGATTCGCTATTCAACACACCGCATATATCCTCTTCTCAGACAAGGACGAGGAAAGCCATTTGCCAGTGGAGATGCGTGCATACTTGGTTGCACAGTCTAATCACTGGGTATTAGCACATACTGATTAAGTTATTTACGCGTGCTGCTCATAGAGCGAAGATTTGTGTGGGACGAAATTTTGGTGAGCGCTCCGCGTTGCCTCGCTGTGCTGACGTGAGTCTGCTTCTTTCCAGCGTTCGTGGAGGTGAAGGTGCGCATCCGGTATATGGGCACATGCTGTATAGTTAGAGATCTCACCGTGCAAAAGGTTGTCTCGACCCTTACTCGTCACTTAGTTTTCGAGCCAGACGACCAGAGACGTGCAATCTACAAAACGGGAGGCAACAGAATCGCTAACAAGCCAAATATTTGCGGACACAAAGTGGAAGGCGCGTAACCATCATGAACGCTAGCTGTTGGATTGTCTACTCCATGTCTATTCTGCGCAACAGAACCCTTCGTGCTCTCATACCGCTTTTTTTCATATGCACAGGTGCCAAGCAAAACATCACTATGCGACTGGTAGGCAAGCTGAGAAGTTTTGATCCCCGGCGGTAGAGCATTTCGGGCTATGCAAACCAAAAGATTACATACATTTGGATGATCGAAGAAATGGAATGGTTCAAAAAGTCTCGATGGTGCCACATCGTATCCATGGGAATCAATTCCTAGCTCGCAATTAGCTCGCAATTATCGAATTACGCCAGGGTGATCATTTACTTTTGCGCAATGCTACTGGCGAGTGTATGCAGCGATCTTGAGTCGTAGTGACGGCAACGCTCACTGGAGCCTGCATAGGCATGGCGCAGGACACTGGAGTCCTAAGAAAGGTGTACAGTTACTCGTAATTCAACTACAGTTTCCAAGTTCACCAAGAGAATTATGGCGACATCTGCGACTTGCAGCGTAGACGAGCGCACTATAAACACTGTGACGGTTTAAGGTAATGCTACGTCTAGCATGCCATCGATTATATACGATGCACAATACTAGTGCCTGTAACTTGAGTGTTCGTGCATAGATTCAAGCGCCTCATTACAATATAGACGAAATATCAACTGCAGTCATATGTATTGTCCATGAAAGGTGGTTTAGTCCAAGTTACAACAGTCTTGCCACGATTCTCCATGTACAAGCCTACTCAGATCAAGCTGCAAACCATACGTGGGTATCACCAAAGTAGTTATCGGGGAGTGCATGGCGGTCCGAAGTTGAGGTGGGACCCAGAAAAGGAGCCGGCCTTCAGGGCCAACCAACCAACCATCCTCGTTGGGAAACAGCGAAATCGGTGGAGAGTCCTGCAAAAATGAGACAGGGGAACGAAGCTTGTGAGCGGGATTCAACGAGAAACACAGTTCACGATGCCCAGAAAACACTACGTCCGATGTAGCAGGCGCAGGATTCGGCATGTATGCAGCTGGGATATCCTCATCAGCATCAAGATATTAGGAAAGAAAGAGATGCATACCATTATCTATATCCCTAACTTGGATGGTGCCATCAAGAGAGCCAGATACGACGCGCCCGTCCTGCGAGATTGCGACAGATAGAACAGAGTCTGTATGCCCTTCAAACAGGAAGTCTAACTGCTGCCCTGCCGCTGCATCCCATACACGAACTGTGTTGTCTTCCGACCCGGATATGATGCGTCGGCCATCGTGCGAGAGTGCGACGCACATGACATGGCCTGTATGTCCCTTTAGAGGGGAGCCTACTTGCTTCCCCATCTCTGCATCCCACACACAGATAGTTTTGTCGCTTGATCCGGATACAATGTGTCGGCCATCGCGCGAGATTGCAACAGACATGATATAGCCTGCATGGCCCTCGAGAGGCGAACCCAGTTGCTTCCTTGTCTCTGCATCCCACACACGGACGCTGTTATCCGATGATCCGGATACGATGCGTCGGCCATCATGCGAGAGTGCGACACACATAGCATAGCCTATATGTCCCTCGAGAGGGGGGCCCAATTGCTTTGCTGTTTCTGCATCCCACACACGGACCGTTTGATCTAAAGATCCGGATATGATGCAACGACCATCGTGCGAGAGTGCGACACACATAACATGGCCTGTATGCCCCTCGAGAGAGGGACCTAATTGCTTCGTTGTCTCTACATCCCACACGCGGACAGTGTTGTCAGCCGATCCGGATACGACGCGTCTTCCATCGTGCGAGATTGCAACAGAATAAACATTGCCTGCATGACCCTCGAGAGGGGAGCCTAATTGCAACCCGGTCACTGCATCCCACACACGGATCGTCATGTCATCTGATCCAGATACGATGCGTCGGCCATCATGCGAGATTGCAACACACCTGACATAACCTATACGGTGCCACTCGAGAGGAGAGTTGAATTGCTGCATTATCTCTGCGTCCCACAGACGAACCATGTTGTCATCCGACCCGGATACGATGCGTCGCCCATCGTGCGACATGGCGACCGATAGGACATCGCCGGTGTGTCCCTCCAGAGAGGGTCCCAATTGTTGCCTTGTTTCCACATCCCACACACGAACTGTGCCATCTCTCGATCCAGATATGATGTGTCGGCCATCGTGCGAGATTGCAATACACTTGACGTAGTCTGTATGCCCTTCGATGGGAGACCCCAATTGCTGCCCTGTCACTGCATCCCACACACGAATCGTGTTGTCGTCCGATCCGGATACGATGCGTCGGCCATCATATGAGATTGCGACCGAGTCAACAATGCCCGTATGCCCTACAAGAGGGGACCCCAACTGCTTCCCAGTATTCGCATTCCACACACGGACCGTGTTGTCCCATGATCCGGACACGATGCGTTGGCCATCGTGCGATATGGCGACAGACATGACATAGCCTACATGTCCTTTGAGAGGGAGACCCAATTGCTTCCCTGTCTGCATATCCCAGACACGGATTGTCTTATCTTCCGACCCGGATACGATGCGTCGACCATCTTGTGAAATTCCGACGGACGTGACAGGCCCAGTATGCCCCTGAAGGGGGAAGCCGAGTTGCTTCCCTGTCTGTATATCCCAGACACGGATTGTCTTGTCCTCCGATCCGGATATGATACGTCGGCCGTCGTGCGAGACTGCGATGGAGTTAATTTTACTTGTATGCCCCTCGAGAGGTGAGCCCGATTGCAGTCCCGTCTCCGCATCCCATACACGTATCCTATTGTCATATGACCCGGATATGATGCGTCGGTCATCGGGCGAGAATGTGACTGACTTGACAAAATCGGTATGCCCTCGGAGTGTATTAAAGAGAGATGGCCACCTAGCCATCCCTCCAGCAGCAACGACAAGGGTTCGGGGAAACATGGCGCAGTGCGTTGAAATTCGGGATACAATTGGAGCAAAAGGTAGAACGGACAGATAAAGATGTGGTGTGCTATACAGCATTGGTGCTGCAAATAAGCGGATGAATCGTTCTGTGTCGGCTATGGTCGTTTTGAGCTGTGAGCCATTATCATCATCCTGCAACAACGGCCTGAGTATCTGTTTAGGTCATGATCGGGAATAGACACACCTTGAGCCAAGACCAGATTGAAGACAGTGCCGAAGCAGACCCACTGAGACTCTTCATCAGACAGAGAACTTCGAGCCAAAAAAGTACACGCTCGTCCTTAAAGAGGGTTTCAATTTCTTCTGCCAGCGACGATTGGAAACGTGCAGCGACTACGTGCGAAGTCCAGAATCGACATGAATATTGCAACTGTGGTGAAATGCAGCTCGCGATACTCTGCTGCAAATGTGGGATGGAGGAGTTGGGAAGGTAAGACGTCTGCAGCCCGCAGATATTGAAGCGTAGCTCGTTCTTCATTACGCAAAGTGAAGCAACGGCTAGTCTTCGTTGGTGCGCTTCTGACAGCTCGACACCATACTCACCACTCCGACGCTTGTCTGCTAAGAAATCATAAAAGGATGCATGCAGTGGCCGAATGGGTGTTCGACTGTCGGTTACCCCGATCAGAAGCGCCCCCAAGCACTCAACCATCTCCTTTACAGAAACGTCCCGCTCATGTCTGTCGGCGCCGTCCTCGCATGGAAAGTGCTGTCGCATCGCAACCAAGGCAGCTCTTGATAATGGCTCCAACGAGGCAAGGATTTGTCCCATGACGGAGCAAAACACCGCAATTCCCTCGTCGCGCTCGTCCTCGGGCATGACTTCTTCCAAAATGCGTCGGTACATATCATCCAACAACTGTACACCTGTAGCTAGTGTCCCAGAGATCAGAGAATTGAAACGGTCCCGTTTACTTCTCGCGCTGTTCTTGCGCACATAATGGCATGCAAGACGGGCCCACTCAAAGTGACCACCCGACTTGCGCGCAAGCTCTGTGACATCGCCGTCTCCGAAAGCATCTTGACGGCCCAGCTTGCCATTGATGTACGTCTTGATGTCACGTTGCGTAGATTCCAGGAATGCATCGTCATCCAAAGATACGTGTTGAACGTGTGGTAAATCGTGCAAAGCGTCATGAATATCTGACAGCGGGCGGGAGGTGATCAAGATGCGGATGTTTGGGGGAAGCTTTGTTGTTCGAAGTGAGGTTCCGTCTCGCTTGCCAGAAAGTAGGTCCAATATTAGTTCACGGGTGTCACACTCACCGCTCTCGTCCAGTGCGTCAATGATAATTAGCACAGGTCCCGGCTTGTCCATCGATGCCACATTGTTCAGGACAGTAAGCAGCCGTTCCCATTGTCGACTGACAGCCTCTGTATGCCTGAGTTCACTGGTGCCGTGAAGCACAATACGCGCAAGTTCACGGCGGATAAAGGGGTCGTGATCGGCCAAGTCTCGCGCGATCGTAGACCATATCTTTTCGTGTCGACGATCTGCTTGTCGTGTTCGATCGAAGCAGTAACAAGAGCCCAACCCGCCACGCGCATGGGACCAAGTGGCTATCGTATGAGCAATTGCGGATTTCCCCTTCCCCGCCATACCAGATAGCCAGAAGATTCGCTTTGCATCCTCTTTAGTCGAATAGAAGAAGTCCTTGATCATGGAGATAATCTCCATCCGAGTTCCATCAAGACATTCTTTGGACGGATTCATTCCAGCTCCAACCGCGTATTCCAGGCCGCTTAAGTCCACATCTTGGGCTACCTCACCAATGCTGAGTATCCAGATGCGCTCTGATTGAATTCTGGGTTGTACTTACCGACCCTATGAATATAGATCAAGGTGCTATCGGCGATCTGTTGCTGAACACAATTGACAAGCTTCTTCAAGATGACATTCAGGCGTCGGACTTCTAGACGTGTCTCAGTAGAGGTATTCTTTCCGAGCTTTGTCCCTGCGAGGTGCAAGTTTATGAATAGAGCTGCGATACTTTGAAATCCACCCACAAAATACTGCTTTTTCCGAGTGGTGGGTAATAAAATCAGCGCACTCCAACATCTGTCGCGCAATCTTTTCTGAAACCTCTTCCATGGCGAGATTCACGAACAGGTCCTTCTGCTCATGGATCAGCTTATATACTCCAGTAATCTCCGTGAGGAGCCCTGATAAATCCGGATCGGATATTCCTTCACTGCGATAGACATGTCCAATGATCATCTAGGTAAGAATAGTGTAAGTTGAATCAAAATGCTAGGAGGGTATGAGCAAGTGACCTCGGACGAGCATTTCAGTATCCTCACTGTTAAGGCTATAGAGGGATGAGCCTATGCGAAAGTAAATGAGATTCGTTCAGCAAGATTCGGGGACCAACTTGTACCTCTATACATGTGTCAAGTGTCGAGCTGAAGACAGTCAGTAGCTCCACTGAGATAGTTGGACTGGATGAGGAAGCCGATTGTGAAGGAACCATCAAATGAGCTGCCATTGTATCGACACTGGAATGATCGTATGGAGAAATCTATAATAGAATTGTGAATATAGGAAGCAGAAACGAATCATAAATGAATACCTTCCAAATACATCGACGATCTATTGCAAAAGGCCGTAGATATATCTGGTAGTAACAAACTAGGGTCATATGACATGACACTGTTCACACTGTGCAACGTACTGGTGTGATATCAGAACCGTCATAGAGATGCCAACATAAGTCAGTCTTGACATTATGTCGAATGCTGAGTGCTTAGTGAGATGACTATCATCATATGTAACTTTGGCCAGAAAGATGACATACAAGTAACCATCTGGATCAATTTCTGCACCCACTCTCTCAATGAACCACCAACACTTTCCCTCTGATCCAACTACTGGCATAGAGTCTTTATATGGGTATTGGGCAATGGCGGCGTGCTTATACTTGAGATTCTTGATTTGGTACCGACCGGCCGAGCTGGGGATAAGTTGCCACTGTGTCATAAAATTAATATGGGCGTATTCAGATACAGGGACATTGCCGCACCAATTCAAGATCAGAGACCTCAGGCTCTGGGATAACACATACCAATGGTTCAACATCGTTATCGTTGGGCAGCATTACTCTGTTTTCATACTGGACATTTTCAATTGTGAAAATGCCGGATAATTTGAATGACATCGAGCATATAAGCCTGGCCACATGAAATCCTAAATAAATCCGATAGTATACACTCTAAGGAACTCTTATTGATGATAAGTACTTGAAGGCTTCATGAATGGGAGGACCAACCTTGCAAGTGTAGAGTTCAGCCCTATAGAGATCTACACACCCGTCGCCAATGCAAGCCGTCAACCGTCACGCGTGGATAAAGGGAAGCAAGAAGGTAGTAAACAAGAGACGAGATGTTGTCGTCTGTTGCCAACTGTCAGTGCGCCATCACACGCGCTCAATGCCATCGCTTACCCCGAACACATATAGCGCATAGTGGTTGTAGACGAGAGGGTTCCCAAATTCTCCGTTGCCACCCCCCAAGGAAAGCTAATATAATTCGATCGACCAGTCCTTTTGCGGCCAGGTTGAACTACATTGTTTCTGTCACGGTTGAGCGACGTCCCAAGAGACTTCACGCTGGAAGAAAGACCGAGACATAATATAGTCGTTGTGTGAGCGCCGGCCTCAGGCTCATCCTCTAGATCGAGAAAGGTCTTTCGGGATAAACAGGGCGAGTCGATGCAGTTGTACCATGTACAGTACCTTAGTGCTGGCTTAAATTTTAAAAATTCGCGGAAATATACGTTCGGTCAAGTCGAGTCTCACGATCATCATCCCAACTTCCAAGCCCCCTTGGGGACCCTCATGCATCATGTCTGGCAATTACTAGTGCACGGCTTAGGTTGTTAAGACGGCCATATGCATATACCGTTTACTTTCCCGAATTCTCACTTCGCTATCTACAAGTTGGCAACGCTTCTCCGTCTCGCACAGTCTGACTCTGCTCAGCACCTATTCCCACCGGTGACACCCACCAAAACACAGCAGGTAGCTTAATGGCGAGACTATTCAATCTCGGTCGTCGTCATAAACAAGGCTTGTTCTACGAACCGCTCGTTCCGCTTCGTCGAGTCGGCTCAAGTGAATCTCTCAACGATAGAGATGATGGAAAACCCTCCCCAGTCTCCATTGTTAGCACTGAAGTCGATACTGCTGCACAGCTGGCTGGCGAGGGAGTTGACATCAACCCTGAGGAGGCGGACAGAGTACGAAGGAAGATTGACTGGCATGTATTGCCTCTAATGTGCAGTACGTCATGATTTTATACTACGGTCTTCCACTGGCCGAGGATTCCAAGTGTTCTGCGAGCTGTGGTTGGCGTGTTGCACGGTCACCGGGTGTCCTCGGCTCTCTGGGGTGCCAAAAACACGACATGTACTCACGAGCGTGAGCTAGCATTGTATTGGATACAATTCATGGACAAGACAACGCTAGGAAGTGCGGCAATTCTCGGGATTAGGTCTGTCGTTCTCTTGTGCTCTGACTGCGAATGAGTATTTTTACGCTCCGTATCACGAAGAGAAGCTACGCATCTTACCACAAATGAGTACGTTGTAACAAGGCGGAACTGGAGATAATATTCACGATTTATTGGTAGATACAACTGGTATGGGCACAGAACTATTGTCATACGACATTCGTCTCATATGCAGTAGGCTTGGAACGATCTTCTACTTGAGCTATTTGCTATTCGAATATCCGCAAAACCTTGCCCTACAGAGATTTCCAGTTGGTAAATGGATGAGGTATGTGAATATACACTCGACATTTTCATGTCTTGAGGTTTCTAGCCTCAATATATTCGTATGGGGAATCGCTTTGTCTGCACATGCTGCCTGCAAGAACTTTGCCGGTCTCTTCATTGTTCGATCCGTCCTCGGGATGTGTGAGGGATCCATAACCGCTGGATTTATGATCGTCAGTTCGATGTTTTACACGCGGAACGAGCAAACTTTACGAGTCGGCTACTGGTGTGAGTGTTCTTTCACCGACTATCCTACTTTCTCAGTGAATTCATGTTGTGTTGGTGTCCAGTCCTCATGAACGGCACGGGTACGTGAGACTTCGAACGTTTACGTATCTCCACTCATGTCAGCTGTAGCCCAGATCATATCCGGCTTCATTAGCTTCGGCACCCTACATATCAAGACAGAAGGCTTCGAGCCATGGCAATGGTCGGTAGGAAAGTTGCCGTCCCATTCGCGACTGCTGATTTCTCGCAGGTTAATGGCTATTACGGGTGTTCTAACACTGATAACAGCTATCACTTTCTGGTATGAGTCATCCCGGATTAGTATAACTACTCGAACACTAACCGGATCTTTCAAGGCTATACTTTCCTGATTCACCGACGAATGCGTGGTTCTTGACGAAGTATGAACGCACCGTCGCCATCAGACGCTTGAAGGTAGCCACCTTATATGCTCCACATACCCCGTACTGAGTATGGGTATCCAGGAAAACCAAACGGGAGTTGAAAACAAACATTTCAAAATTGATCAGTGAGTTTTACGCGTGTGTTCCCGTCCACTTTTTCCGAATCTCATTCCAGGGTCCAGGGTCCACGAAGCACTGCGGGATCCGAAAACATGGCTTTTCGCCCTCTTCTCAGCGCTGAACAACGTGCCAAATAGCCTGACGAACCAGGGGCAGATGATTGTGGCCTCGTTCGGCTTCACGTACCTGCAAACGACGCTACTCGGCTGTATTGATGGTGTGATCGAGATTGCTACAATATGGACGGGCGTTCACCTTGCGGCGCACTACCAGAACGCGCGGGCATATGTCGGAGCGGTGTACTTTATCCCTAATCTCATCGGCGTGCTGCTTCTCAATGTGTTGCCATGGAGCAATCGTCTTGGTCTCTTGTGCGCACAGTGGCTCACTGGTGCGTCGCGTATCTCCTATACATTTTCAAGCCACTCATCTGCCCAACTAACTCAATATAGGCGTAGGCACGACGGGTTTTGTACTTTCTTTGTCGTGGCTATCGAATGTGACTGCGGGGCATACGAAGCGAGTGACTGTTAATGCAATCATGCTCATCGCGTATTGTATCGGTAACGCGGCGGGGCCGTTCATGTGGCAGGAGAGATTCAAACCGCGGTGCGCTACTTTGATAACGAGTCATGCTGTCGCCTGAACTTGCTCATAGGAATCATATACCATGGACAATCATTGGACTATGTTATACCCTCTGTCCCATCCTCCTCCTGATGATCCGCCGTGTTCTCTCGGCTGAAAACAAGCGACGTGACACAGAACCGCCAGACGAGACGTATGACGAAGTCTTCGTCGAGGTCACCGACACGCAAGGGAATTGCGTGCGACAGAAAGTAGAGAAGGTGTGTACTTTGGCGGCCCTACCACGAGCATTGAGAAGGACTGACTCCATACGACCCATAGGAATTTTTAGATTTAACAGATGTCCAAAATAGAGATTTCAGATACGTCTTGTGATTCAGTGCTTGTGTGCTTGTAGCTCCTGGCTTGGAGACTCTGTCCGCTGATTGTACTTCTAAAAACTCCCAAGCTTTTAGTCTCACCAAATTGTTGCGTAATTGATGTAGATTACCATACTGCAAACAACGATAGGATCCGCGACGGATGAGCCCACTCGTCAACAAACCACCCGTGGCTCTAGCTACGGAGTCAGTTCTTCCGCCCAATTAGCTTCCGGTTATGACCCTTGAGTATGCGAAATTGATGAAATCCGTCCGACTAGGCATCCGTTCTATCTATCCACTGACGAGAGTTGCACTAATAGCAATGGTCTACAAGAGAATCATATGCATCCTCTCGGAAATGCGGTCTCCAGTTTGGTGTACAGGAATCTGGATATACTCCACTCGATGCATTCGGAATTCGCCTTGGGGCATGAAGATGCTTCAAATTGAGAATAATTTCTGGAATGAAATATGACAGGTACGCGATAGGCCTATGACCTGGCTAGACTGAGTTGAAGCCTTACGAGAGCGGACCTGATCGGAGACTGGGTGAGAGAAAGATCAGTCTCCTCATTCGCCGTATTGTGGCATCTCGGTACGGCCAAGGCTGATCGTTCCAACTCGTCCATCCACAAACCCCCAGCATCATCTTCATTCCAGTATATGTCAGCTTCGAATTCCCAAGTCAATAACCTATGTCAATGATGTCCCAGCCAATCTCCGCGATGTAACGGTCGGCCAGGCTCCGGATGCTGAGGAAATTAGGATCATCCGGATTCGCGGTGGCGACCATGAGGTGACTGGACACCACTTACGGCCAGGTACGTCATCCTTTGCAATAGTGCTGGTACGTCCAGGCTGAATGATCACCTCATCTTTGGCAGGAGCACCCCCGTCTGAGGCGTTGTCGAAGCTATACGCCTATGATGCGATTGGTTGTCAAAAGGCGGATTCCGTGACAGCCTGACTAGCCATAGTGGGCCATATCTGCTCGGTGATTCCTTCGCTTCGCATCAAAGACGCTTTATTTTTTGAAACTCGCGCTTCACTGTTCGCTTCTGCCCATGAGAACTATCGAGAGCTGTCTGATAGGCTTGTAATTCTGGCAAAAAGGTGGGATGTAACACCATCTGGTGTCGTCTGGTGCATAGCCTAGGGCGGGCATATAGTACATATAACACAGATATCCTAGCTGAGTCGGCTAAAATCTCACCTCCTGAGCGTAACTCTCATGTTGAACGGCACCACAGACCCTGTAATCATTTCCCGGAGGCAAGCACGGTATGTGACTGTTGCCTTCATCTGGATGCGCGAAAGATGAGACAAGTACGTTGCGACGTAGCAGGGCAGTCAAATCCAAACCACACATAGTTGCTTCATGTGAGTCGAAGACTCTTTAATACTTAATAAAACATCTCAACTTTCGTAGCCGTGCCCTTCTACGAAGCGATGCTCACATTAAGTGAAGTGATCACGCTTCTCCAGACGGGCAGGCGAACACAAATCATCGTATTCTTCCTCAACTACATGAACATGCTTGCAGTATCTTTTCACAGTCTACTCGGAGTCATACATTGGAAGACAGAGCCTGTGAGTGCGGCTTTCAATTATGCAACGGGTAATATCTCACGAATGTCCGTACCGTAATCCAGAAGTCAGAGCCAATTGTCATGTTTTACATCGCGCACAGCTAACACGGTTCCAGTTGTCAAGGAATAGCAATTTTTTTCCTCAGTAGTGCAATCGTTGATGAAATTGTCAATACGGGTCAGTCGCTATGTTCCTCAGATCTTGAGCGTCAGGTTTCATGCCATTCGTTACAGCCATTTCATATATGTTGATATTAGCTATCAGTCACAGAAACTGGATTCTCTCTCTAATCACTCTTGCGGGAGGTCTAGCTCCAGTCGCGTTACACCTGGTATGTTATGATTTATTATATATGTGTATTGTGACTACAAGTAGAGCTGATATTGAGCATGCAGTATGAAATTGCTATGATTCGGGATTTCAAACTCGAACATGGTCGATGTGTGGTTTTTGGTGAGATGAGCCTTAGGTACATCCCCGGAGTGTTTATGAACACTAAATGTTTCAAACTCACTCAATTTCCCGCAGTCGACGGACTTTCTTTGCGGTGGCTGCTGTACTGGATGCGTTCGCCTTGCTATCCACCGTAAGTTTCATCGCTGTTGTCTGGTTCTATCTCTCCAGGTTCCCTTTACCAAAGGGATATCTCAGGAGGACCAGTACAATTGCGAGCACTTTACTGAGAGATGGTATGTAATATGAGTTGCGCTAAGACAAGGTGTACACCTGAGCTCACTGTCTCGACGCAAAGGAACACTGTATTTTGTGTACGTATCAACGACATCGACGGCTAACTCCCTTGCAATTGGTTGACCCGGGACCATGTTCTGCAGATTTTTATCGGCTCGCAACCTCTCACATGTCATTTCTCGCACGTGTAACCTAAGCAGTGTACGATTATTACGGTCAAGATTTTGGGTCATTACTAACGCACTGGCATGGCTTTAGTATCTACAAGAAGCTATTGATAACTTGGATGAGCTGATGATGTCGTCAGTCCTCCACCCATGGTCATACGCGGTAATCCTTGACAAAAGCATATATCGCAGACTGATTCCTATCCTCTTATCTCGCTTGATGCTGCATCTTCAAGCCGTCTCGTCTGCACAGGTATTCGACTCTATCACCGGAGACTCCGGACTGCACACTAGGACCTGGCTCCGAGATATTGAATACGCTCGCTCGCAGATTCTGTTCCCCGTGGTTGTCTCGAGGCTATCAACTGATGAGGCTGAAGCGATGTGCGCAGAGGGAGCGAGTTGTGGTGATGCAGAAAAAGGAAGCGAACAGGAAGCATTGGTTCCGATAGCGCACTAATTCATATACATATTTTGCAAGCACTGATTTAGATAAATCGTAGCACTCTTACGGTACTTACGTTAGTACTCACATCAAGTGGGCTCTACGTTCCGCCTGTGGGAGAATGTACGTACTGAAAGTTTGTGTTCACCTGTCCTTGAAATTGAACGAATCGACCGACTCGAGCTTGAGGACAACGAATACTTCCAACCCCGGGCCGGGCGCTCCCGGCTTATTATCGATCCACTTTGTGCTGGAGCTGCCTCTGTCGCTGCAAACCATCTTCCCTAAACTTTGACTATCTACGGAGCAATATGTGGCTTTTTGAATACCAGCAACAACACATGCGCCAAAAGTCATCTGGTGGTGCAGGGCTTGCCTGGGGTCATGGGCAGCCCTTCAGGACGATTTGTTAGGGAACGTAGTATGTCATACGTGAAAGATAAACCGCTACACATTGCTGATATGTATGCCGACTTGGCTAGTGCACGCGTTCTGCCAGTCTAGGACGGCTGCAAGGAGAGCAACGGCCTGAAGTCAACGGCGTCTGGAAGTGCTATTAAATCGCCGCTCATGGCCTAGAAGGAATATAAGCACTTGTTCTCATTCATTTACAGTCAATCAATCATCAATCACCTTGGCCAAGTTCTGAATGACGCGCCTCAAGTATATCCTGCCCTGGATGATCTCCTCAAGCGCGGGGATTCGGCCACACTGCAGTCGACGTTGTGCCTGGCCCTGCCCAGAAATATATGGTAGACCTCTATCAAGCTTTCGCAAAAAATGGCATGTCAACCAGTTTGCGTACGGTTTTATGCCCTTTCTACAAGACCTGACTCTGTTCTTATGGGAGGTCACGTAACGAAGTTGATTCATCCTTGTTCAGAAACATATAGCGCTTAAATTGGATCTGCGGACGGTGGACGGCTCTCCTCTTACAGCTTCATAGTCCCATTGTGTCTGGCCCTGCGGCTGCATATGCGGCTCTCTATGTGCGTCTCTAGTAATATCTGGGCAAGGCACCATCATTCCGTTACATGGCAGATCTCCCGGCACCAGTCAGGCTCTGAGATCCGTCGAGCGAGCGCGTCTTCACTATGTCGGTAAATTTCCGAAAGCCTTTTGGTCTCCAGATCGTCCGCCGGCGTATAAATCCTCAGCGATGTAGCACCTAATCCTACAGAACACCCTCATCCTCAGTTCCGCGGCGTGATGGGGAAGGTTATCGCTCTCGGTCTGATTTTTGCTGCTATTGGGCAACTTGTATCGTGCTTCGACCCTCCTACCATTCCACTCAATTGGACGACGCAGTACGCGTGCGCCGTCGATGTGCCCTCGCGCGTGATCTCAGGAGACGTCACCACGCAGTCTACCAACAACACTCCCGCCTCGTGCATCGAAAGCTGCGATGCTGCGGACTATATCTACGCCGGCGTTGAATATGGCGACGAATGCCACTGCGGGACCGGGCTCGTGGGCACACCGACGACAGCGCCCGAATCGGACTGCGATATCGCGTGCAGCGGAGACGCAGACCTGTCGTGTGGTGGTTCATGGCGTATCCAAGTCAGTGCACGTCCCTTGCATTTATATTGCCTATCTTAACATATCCTCTTGGCGAGCTGTAGATTTACAAGTCTCCCGCTCTGCCTGGAGGCGGATGGGCTCTGGAAGGGTGCTTCGTCGACACGCCGACGACGCCCGCGTTTGGCAGCCCGGTCGTGCACCAGACGTTCAGCACGAACCTCGACCTCATCGACCAGTGCGTTGACTACTGCCAGCACATCGGGTACCCGTTCTCAGGCGTGGAGAACGCGACAGATTGCCAATGCAGCTTTGGATTTGCGAACGGAGTGGAGCAGGTTGATGAATCGGAATGTAACTCGCTGTGTCCGCTGCCGCCTGGCGACGGTAGCGAGTACTGTGGAGGCCCACAGAGGTTGATGGTGTACGAATATACTGGTACAGATTAACTGGCCAATGTTGAGATGCGCGATTTACTGTTGCTTCTCGGTTGCTCCTCAAATGACTATTACTCTTTGTCATAAACCGCACTGGTACGAGCCGCTGCTCAGCCTGTTGTTGCGTTGAGTCGAACAGATTTTCAACATGATACATGACACAAGTAATCTGAAGTTCAAATTCTTTTTCAATTTTTTTTTAAATTTTAATTTCAATCTATCTGAAGATAAAACTGAATTTCGCCTCTCTTTACAGCCCGCCGGCTGGCCTCGTACGTACCCAAACGTGTCGACCGAAAATTATGTAGCATGTTTCGCTGCGACTCTCTTTGCTTTTTGGTCTAGCGGCCATCATTGAAGTATTGATGCGTCACATCCTGAGCCATTATCTTAGTGAATATTGCTAGCACGTCGCATCTCTCCGTGTTCGCTGTCGACCTCGAGTAGTGCTACAGTATCTGAGATCTCTTTTGGGCGGGTGCTTCGAAGAGAATCATGGACTTGATGTACTACATTCAGCAGTGTATTCATCATGTGGAAAAGCTACCCATCGTGAAGTTTCCTGCCACATGGCCACATCCGACAGGCATCTGCCCAAACGCATCTCGTCCCGCTTTGCTCCAAACGACCACCATTTACATTTGACACTACTCTCATGATCTGTCTTCGCTGTCCTCGGTTGCACGTTCTACCAAGGGATCCTGTCTGCGGCGCGGAGATTCGTGTCTAATCTGCCTGGTATGGACATGTGGGCCTTACAGAGAGTTTGAGATTGTCGATCCCGCCAGTTGTATACGCAAGGGAGTAGATGGAACCAGTGAACTGGTGAGTCCTGCGATTTAACATCTTTCATCTCATCCTCAGGAACTGCTAGAAGCGGCCGGCAACAGTAGATCAATGCTGTTGGCACGTCCTTGTGATTGGCGTCTATCTGGTCTGAGACAGAGCATCCCGTAGACTGCGCACTCACGATAAGCATCCTCCAGGCTCGAATGCGGTACGCTTTCCCATCCGTTGGTCCACCATCGTTCAAAGCTGCCATGAAACCGAGGTAGTGAATGTTCATGCATAGTTCCTGCTCGGGTGCATCACAGAAGTGCATATTCTTGTGCAATCATGCTTGGTGGCATGTTGGAATTGGCAGGATGCAGCGTTGTCGAGTGGATATCCGGGAATACCGTGAACCTTGTCCCATACGCATGTATGCGCCAGTTTGATGTCTATCATTCCTACATGGAAAGTCATCCATCTTCCCGCGACGTCAAAAATGTTAACTCCAATAGGACTTCCCGTCGTTCTGGCGTCCACCCAAACTGGAGTGGTATTTTTTGCTCTCTCAGCGGCTGATTCTCACGACCAAGTCTTCCCACCGGCTACTCGGCGTCCGCACTCGCTATTCCCACTCCCTCGCGTTCCCGCTCACAATGTACACAGGATTGGGTGCAGGCTCTCAAGCGGGACCGCCCGCTCAACTACAGTGTCTATCATGTCCGTGTACATGCTGGCAACCATGGGATCACACGCAGCCCTGAGCACGAGCCTCGAAGGTCTACCGGAGCAGTGCTGACAATGGATCCAATCATTCTTACCTATATCTGTCTTTCGATCCCAAGCCAAGCCGAATTTCACCCACACTTGCCCTCTTCCCTTCACAGATCGTGCCCCCATAATTCTGCGCCCTTCACGAATCTCGCCGCTCCATGAGTACCAACGTCTTCCCCTCTGCGTTTCCGCCTACGACTTCCTCCTCAAGCTCTACACTTGTAGACCACTTCCGCCCGACGTCCATTGCACCGCCCCTTCCACACAACCACATTACAGACAGCTCTCCACTTTCAAGGGACAACATGAACACTGCTAGTGCAACGGTCTGGACTCAGCGTCTCTCGGAGTCCTTTGGTGCCATTGCCGATCAGATTACTGCTGCCTCACAAGCCCTCGCGGCGGTCGAGGTGCCCGCAGCTCTTGATCCTGCTCCGAATGGCGACTCTGCAGGACCGATAAACGCGATTGCGGCCCTTTCGGCGCGCTTGGAGGCGATCGAACAAGCACAAGAACGACTTGAGGACGAGCTGCGGTCACTTCGCCGGGGAGGAAAACGAGAGTCACTGAATTTTGTCAAAGAGGTGCCGAGGGAGAACGGTGAGGCACCGGAGCCGGAACCGGAGCCGAACTCGCTCGAGAAGACGGTAGAAGAGTTGTCGAAGAAGGTGGACGGCATCCTAGAGACGATCAAACTCGAGTACGTGGGGCATCCTTCTGTACATGCTTCCTCGATTTTGTGTGCCTGACGACAAGTGCACTCGTAGCCACATGTGGTTGTACCCACGCCTTCAGAACGCGGTGATCTCGTCGAACAAAACGCAGGTCAAGCCGCTCCCGATGGCGAACGGGAAGCCACCTGTGAACTTCCCCGGAACAAAGGGGGAATTTGAGTGCATGACCAGTGCGTGCTGTGGATTAGGTGCCTATGTTGTGCACTAATTATCACCTTTTGCGCAGAGGAGCGGTACGAGCATTTACTCAAATCTTATGGCCAGCCAGCCAAGGGCGACACCGCGGCGAAGCGGCAGGCTATCCGCGAGTTCCTGGGATTGTCAGCGGCGCAGTGATGGCACACTACTCTCGTCCTCAAAGTTATAACGTCATGACATGGTAACCCATGTATATCGTGAACTCGCGAATTGAAATGTTCGTTAGTACTGTAGCCCATTGGAAGTGAGCCGTATTCGTCTCTTTCTCATGGTACATCGAATTCGATACATGTCGGAAGACTGGAGGCCCGTACTAATGTAGGACGCGAGTAGGAAGACTAGTGAAGGCTCCGATTCAAACATTGAGTTTGGGCTTCGTAGCCTTTAGGTAACCCTTACGAGTTCGGACTGGCATACATATGTGAGTGATTGTTGAGTCATCAACTCTAATCAGCCCAATACTTGATCACTTCGCCCACTTGACTCTCACAGAATGTTCTGTCTTATTTGACCACATTACGGTGGTTACCTGAGCAGCATATCCTTCATATCAGTCTCGCCAACGACGTCTTAACCACCATTGTGTAGCATCATCTCCCAGCACTGCAGCAATGATACACAATGCAACCACTCATGATCCACATTGCTACCAAATGGCATGTGGCCGAGCAAGGTAAAGTCGCGCGAGCGACGCTTTTCGCGTCTATGATACACAGCAGAGGTGAGTCTTTGCGAAATTCACCAGACCTCTAACGCGAGACTAGACTCGGATACGATGCGACCCCTGAGGACGAGCGACTTACAGAACCAGGTTGACTCGAATAGCGCTGCATGCTGCGGCAAAACCCTTGCTCGGACAGTCGATAATTGTTTACCGCGAGTTCAATTTCGTGGTAGGGTTGTCTATCTGTCTAAACTAGAGTTATAGGTAATTCACTGTAGTCTAGTAATTCGCACTTTTGCATCATGTAATTAGCGTCCTGCTCTTCAGCTTCATCTCTGACAAGGACATCCATCAGACTTGGTTGAGAAGGAAAGTGCATCATGGTAGTGCAGGGTTTTGCTGGTGGAGAAAAGGATGATGGTGATGGCGATTGGACGGCCTCTCCCAGGCGTCCTGGGGAATAAAACACTCACCCTAGGGAATGGGGGCACGAGGAGAGCCAGGCGTTCGTGCGAGTCAGCACGGAGGGGGGGATTGCGCCGCGGCGCAAGGAGGTGTGGGCGGCGCAAGGAGGGCAGGGGCATGAGCAGTGAGAGAAGGGCGGAATGGTCGTGCACGAATTCGGCAGGCGAGAACAATGGCTTCTACACCCTAAGTCTACTCATAATTGTCTAAAAGATGTTCACGCGATTCTAAGGTCAGTACCAGATATGATGCCACGTTCTCTCACTACTTGTCATGCAGATCTTATCTTGGAGTTTATACTGCATGTTGAGGGAAAGGCGTAACAGCGTACCAGCTGTATATTGAGTTGTGCTGTATGTGTCATTTGATCCCGGTGTCACGACGGAAAAGTCTTTGTGATTGTATGCACCACACACCGGATGGGGAGCTGCCGGTCTTTTTAGGTGTTCATCCGACGACATACAGCTGTTTCGCTCATTCACTGTCTTGAACAAGCATAGGCACACTGGTTGGCGCGTTCCTGTTGACTCGAGCTTGGCACGATGCAGGTGCGCGTTTGCCATTCGCCGTCGTGAATCTGCTCTCGTTATGCTGGGTGAGCTTGTGGACAGGATTACACTGCTGGCTGTGTGCGCGTATTCTGTGCACTCGCCACAGACAGAAGGATGTTTCCGCGTGCTATATTGGGAATGCTGTCTATATATGGTACTAATTTCTATGCGTGGATTTTTCGGCATTCGATTTCATATAAGGAGCACCTGACACTGATAGTGCCTGCAGGATTTAGTGTTGCATTACTGAGGTTGGAAAAGCCTTGCTCTACTGACCAAGGAATTCTTGACACTAGGCGTGGCATGGAAGGACTCTGTTCCTCGTGACCGTTTTCTGTCCGATGCGGCAAGTCGTCGTCGCAGACAGGTAAAATGTTATTACCTCTATTCTCCCTAGACAGCGCGTAAGTGATATATATTAAGCAATCCTGCAATCCCTTGACCCCATACACTTTCGGTCTAACTTCTCGATCCTGCTGCTGTCGTAAATCCCTCGTACAATGTCTCTTGCTAAAATTCCGTTCCTTCTTGCAAACACTATCAGTGTCTATGCGGCGTGCACATCTCCAAATCCCCAGGTCCCGAGCAGCCAGCGACCAAAGAACATTGCCACGTCCGAACAGTACTTCTCTGCGCTCATGAAGACTACTAGCCCGATCTACAAGGTGCCGTGTTCAGTAATCAAATTGTCAGCATACAATGCTTATGATTGTGATAGTATATCATGTGCTCAGGGAGTCTTATCGAGTCGGCAGTGATACTCGCGAGACGATGGCCTTCGCATCCTCTGTCCCGGGGGGTCCTGGGTCTATTCGTGAACGGTCCGACTACCCTTGCAAACCGAATCACCCTCTCCAGAGCATTCCTCATTGGGACCGCACTGGTGACCGCAAACGCGTTCATCCGAGTCCTGTGCTACCGCGCTCTTGGGCGTCTCTTCACGTATGAGGTCGCGATTCGGGATGACCACAAGCTCGTGACGAGTGGTCCGTACGCGTATATCCGCCACCCGAGTTACACAACATGCCTGTTGTGCTGTGTAGGGATGGGAGTCGCTTGCATCAGCCAGGGATCATGGCTGAAGGAGTGTGAGGTTCTGGCGACGCCAGCTGGGCGTGCTGGGGTGACGTTGTACGGGGCATTTTTCGCGTACTTCACGGTGGTCTCTTTCACACGTGCTCCGCGGGAAGACGCCTTGCTGAGAGACCAATTTGGGTCACAGTGGGACGAGTGGGCGCAGAGAGTACCGTATAGGCTCATTCCCTACTTCTACTGAACTGGCCCGGGAGCTGTTTGCCAGTACGAGCTGGCCGTAAAAGTTATGTGGATGTCGAGTTTGTCTGAATCGATGAAGGACTAGCGTTCCCATGACTGACCGGAGACGAGTCCTACTGTAATGTTTAAAGACCATGCGACGTCGGTGTAGGGTCCATCCCACGAGACGAGTTCAATTTAGTTGTGTTCATTGACTACTTACCTCCAGGGTGACGGCTGGAACCTCTATATGTATGACTGCGACACAATCCACGGGTCATGCAAGACTGGAGTGTGAAGTCAGTGGGACAGCACTTCACAGAGATAGACTTACAAGAGTAATCTGAACAGTGTAATGAACTCTCCAAATTATATTAATTGTATGTAGGGTTACTACATGTTCTGTCGCATCCACTCCTGAGTGGATAATCCGATAGTGCAAGCCTGCCGCGCGGTTTGCTATTACGCTGGCGCAGGGAGTTATGCCGCTTCATACGGCACTATCCATTATTTCGAATAGAGGCGATCGAGAAAGAGAAGGTGCGTCTATAATTTATACATAAACCAGGGCAGGATATCGCCGTAGTAAGAGTCACAAGTGTTCTGCAATTAGCCGTAGATTGGAAATAGTGCGGGACACAGTGCGTGACAGTCCTGAGTATGTCAATGTAGCACTACCTTTCCTCACAAGCGTACTCTTGCAGGCTGATGCGCACCGTCCCTATATCAGATGTCAAAAACGATGTCATTCAAGGCACAGTTGAACGTATGAACGAGACACATGATATCAAACCCCATACAGATACAGCAGATAACTTTTGCAGTGCTTCCAATCGCCTTGAATTAAAACAAGAAAAACCAAGATCGCCCATACGGATCAACGACGTGCTTTTGCCGTAGAGACAGCCGCAGCCGCGGTGCCCGACACCGTC